GCTCTGGCCGGCGGCTGCAGGCGCTCAGAGCGCCGCTGTTGCGCGGCATCAGCGACGACATCACGGGCCTGCACCGAAGAGAGGAGGAAATAACTCTTTTACTGACTGACGAAGACTTTCAGAGGTGATCAGTAATTAACAGCTTAGAGAGAAATTTGCCTTGTTAACTTCAATCATGGTTTCAGCAGCAGTGTGCCGTAGAGATCCCAGCAGCTTCATCTCCTGGGTGCTGTATCTGTATCTTCAATAATTTTTTCCTGACAACAAGCTGCAAACGATGTTCGAATCCTGCTCAGCCCCATCAACTCTTAACCTCAGTACTCAGCTGGGGTTGTCCTGTTTCAGCTCCTGCAGTGTCCTGCCACTGCAAACAGGTGCCTTTGCTCCTCGTATCGGCATCAGCTACATACAAGACCATATTTAAACATAATCGAAGAGTGGGGGAAAGGCTCTATTTGGGTAAAGCTGGGGAAATACTGTATTTCTTTAAAATGTCAGGCCTCTGCTGGTGTCATTGAAATGCACTGAATGTCCAGCTGCAGGAGGCAGCAGTCAGAACGAGCAGAAATCGGTGACAGATCATACTCACGGAATCATCTCTGTTCTTCTTTTTCCAGTTCAGATGCTGTGGAGTCTCCAACTACACTGACTGGTTTGAAGTGTACAACACAACCCGGGTGCCCGACTCCTGCTGCTTAGAATTCAGTGAGAACTGTGGACTCCATTCCCCAGGGACCTGGTGGAAAGCGGTGAGTGGCTCCCCCGCAGCAGCTCAGCGGCTGCCTTGTGGCCCAGGAGAAGGCCAGGCTGCTGGGTGTTTGCTGCACGGGGCTGTACAGCTGCCCAGGGACGTTGTACCCTTATGGGTCTGTAGTCAGGTGGTTTCAGAAGGCCTGTGTTGAGCTGTGGCTTTTGACCTCCAATGAAACCGCCAGTTTAATTACTTTTACGAGCTGAGGGCTTGCCTTTCCACAGGCTCTAAGCTGCTGTGTCACATTGCAGACAGGTGCCTTCCAGCACCGGAGCACGCAGTAGCTCGATCTAGCTGGGGGTAGGATTGTCCCTTTACTGCCCCACCTACTGCAGTCAGGTAGAGAAGGGCAAATGGCTCGTCCACGCACGTAGCCCAAGCCCTAGAAAAAGCCACAGCTGACGGTGGCACAGGCTGCGAGCGGCCAGAGGACTGTGAGCCTGGCGTGCTCGGCCCTGCCAGGAGCCCGGGGCTGCCCCTGCACAGCGGGCGGAGGGGAAGGGGGAAGGGAGCTGCTCCCCTGCATCACCAGCAGCGGGGTTTGGCCGCGAGTTTCTGCACTTGCCTGTAATCAAATCTAAAACTCTGTGGGATAATTTCCCTATGCTCTCCTCAGCAAGATCTTTCCAGAGAAGATTGTCAGAGCCTAAATCCTTCTCTGAGCTCAGCGATTCTTTCTGCTAATTACAGGTAGTACAGTTACCCAGGAGAGGTGTGGAGCGAGGCTATCTGACGAAGTGGAACTATAGGGAAGTTTTGCTGGGTCTAATGGTTTGTGAAGACAATGAGTAAAGCTCTCTTGGCTACTTTCTGGTGAGATTTCATATATGTGGATTGGCAGCAGCTGAGTTCCAACCAAACATGGCTCCTGTCTACCTGTCAAGTAGCTCCAAGTCAAATTTTGAATTTAAGGGCTTAAAAGTTCTTCTCCTGTTTTGTTTGGGGTACCAAGAAGATCAGTGCAGTTAACACCATGTCTGCTGGTGGGCATTAATAGTTTTGCCTTTACACGCACCTGAAGGCTGAAGGATTCTTGGCCATGTACATTTACGAGCCAGAGGGCACAATTCTTGCACAAGATTGTCTCACGGCCATTATTTATTATTTACACATCATTGAAAGAAAGGTTTCACTTCACCAAATCCCACCCTCCCCAAAGCTGGGTCAGGAACATGAGGTTACAGCTACTGCAGGATTTAAGGAAGAAAGTAAGAGCGGAGCGCCCACACTGCAACCGGAGCTGGTGGAAAAGGGTATACAAGGGGCCTGTGTGGAGCAGGAGTGGCTACTGAGCACCTTGCCCTGGAACTTTTGGGTTTGATAGACACATATATATGTATTATAATAAATATTGGCTTTCCTGAAACATGGAGAAAATGAAGGGCTCATTCTGAAGGTCTGACTGCTTCTAGGTGGGTTTTAGAGGGCAAAAAGGCCCCAAAGCCACGGCTTGTTTAGTTTTAGTTACTGGCCCAACTTGGATGGAGCAGCGCTCGCACAGCGTTTTGGAGGGGCATGTTTTTGTGTTGCTGACATTCGTGCTCCGTGTTCAAGCGTCAACCCAGAACTAACCGGTCGTTGCTCCAGTGCTGAAGTGAGCACCCAGGCTACCCTGGCAGCTTGGTCTGCTCTGGCTTGTTCCTGTCTCTGTGTTCCCAGGGGAGCAGAGCTGTGTCCTTATGGCTAATAAAGTATTCTGTTTTTTTTTTTTTCAGCCTTGCTACGAAACGGTGAAAATATGGCTCCAGGAAAACTTACTAGCAGTGGGAATCTTTGGATTGTGCACAGCTATGGTGCAGGTACAGTTTAATATCAATTTTCAAATCCCAGTTAATCATAACTAAATAATTAACCAGAGATCCAGATACACTTTGCCCAAGCCTGTTTTAATAATTCCACATTTTACATGCTGTTAGGGTAAAACTCTGCAAGATTTAAGCCTTCTGTGTTTTAATTTAGTTAAAATACTATGTAAGAGGTACAGCACTAGGAATGCTGCGCCCATTTTCTCCTTGGTGATGCAGTGCAAAGAGCAGCCTCTTTTTACCCAGTGGTGTCTCGGAGGCTTAGACCTGACTCAGTGGCGAGATGATCCCGGCCATCCAAAGGCAGCAGCCTGATCAGAGTAGGGTGAACTGCCTTTTAGGGTGTTTGGCCAGTAATTCTCCAGAGGGGACCATCTGCTTAGGCTAAATATCTAACTTCAAGACAGCCTAAAGGGAGCTGAAGCCTTCAGCCCCATCCTCAGCCCCAGGGTAAGTTACAGGTTGGGATGTAGTTACGGTTCCTCAACCCTGTCACTAAAACCTTAAAACTGCAGAGGAAGGAGATGGGTGAGGTGGGCACAGCCTACCAGATCTGTGGTCCGCAGCTATTTCCAGCGTAGCTTTGGTCACTGTAGCACCCTGCCTCTTGCGTACTGGCGACTTTAAGCCAGCTTGCCCTGGTGGTGGCCATTGTGTGGCCCCAATGGCACAAACCTGAGAGCTGTGCTGTAGCTTGGGCTGTTTCAGCTACACGTCAGCCCCTTTTCGCTGCCCATCCCTGAGTGCAGTGAAGATGGAGCTTTAGGCTCCAGCTCCACCCGCTCTCACACTCAACACGGGGGGGGGGTGGCAGGATGCAGGAAGGATGGCATCGCTACACTGATCAATTAATACCTTGTAACTCAGATTAACCCATGGGGTGATTTTTTTTTCTCAGTTTTGCATGGTGTACCCTAGCAGCAGCACCGGCGAGCCCGGGATCAGAAGTCCACTCGTATTCCCTCTGCCATCAGATTAGGCAGAACGGCCTGTGTCTTTCTGCAGCTTGTTAAGGCAAATGCCCAACTCCTCGTGTGCCCAAATTCAGGAGCTTTTGGGGTCCAGTAGGGTAAGCAGATATGCTTGGGCAAAAAGAAGAAGATCACATGGCAGAGAGACAATGTCAGACTGTTGTTAATAGATTGCAATGTTTTAAAAAACAGCTTTTGAGCATCTATTCAGCATTTAGGGAGTCTTTAGAAAAGGATATATTAAAAACTCAGCAGCCCCCGTCAGAGTCCTTCCCATAGACCTTGATTATGTTTAGGATGTTGAAGAGAAGGCTGCCTTCTGGCAGAATGAAACTGCTAGTTTGCACGGGAGAAAACGCTTCAGACAATTTAAAAATGCTAATTAATATTCCTAGTAAATGCTGTGAAATACAGAGAAAACACCTCAGAACAGAAAAGATTTTTTAGTCTGTCTTCCAGCTGCACTATGTGATTGGATCTAATCGACGATGAGAGTTTTGACCCACCACCACCCAAAACGAGTTGGGTCCCTTGGTTGTTGCTGTGACAGTGTTGATCGGGTCCCAAGCCCCTGACACACCTGAAGGACATACAGCACACGGGGCAGGAGAATCTCCTTTGGTTGGGCACGCTCGAACTTACAAAACAAATCTGGCCACCGAGGTTTTGGGGTGCAGCTGCCCCCGGGGCACCCCCGCGCTGGGGAGCGAAGGCAGCGTTCAGGGGTACCTCCGGCAGGGAGGTGCTTACTCTAGAACAGCGCACTAAAGCCTCACAAGTTTATTTTGCTGTGGAAGAACAGGAAGTGAAGACAGTAACAGCTTTATAACCTTCCCCCCACCCCCTCCCCCTTTATTTATGAAGCAGTACATGGGTTATTCAGGTACTCTTTCAAAATACTCATTACCAGGAACTACTATTCACATAGAGCCTAAATTTGAGGTGGTTAAATTAAGTACTTAAAATAGAATTCATACCAAAAAAAAAAAGGCAAAGCGTTATTATTTCAGTGACAATTTTTACAAGGAACAGTAACAACCACTTAGTACATTCATGGAAGTCCTTCAGCGGGAAGGAAAATAAGACTCTTCCCCACCCGCTTTTCTGATGCAGTGAGCTACCCAAGGCACAGCAGGCCAGCAGCTGGGCTGGGAGAAGAACCACCACCTCCCCGCTGCTTCTCTTGAGTAGACTGAGCGGGAAGACACATCCATTGTTGATGAGGCACGGATGGTGATGATTAATGCATGGCCAGTCCCCAGCGGTGCCCCCCCGGGGCCCTGCGCACACGCACTCCAACAGGGCCGCACAGCGGCCCGAACCGCGGCGCCGTTGGGGCAGGGACGAGCCCGACTCGTTCACAGCAGCAGCGCTGCCCGCACAGCCCCGCAGCTGAGGGTTGCTGCTGGAAAGTATTTTTGAGCAAAAGACATCCAAACATTTCTTTTCAATACACCTCCTCGCAGCATCTGGTGGCTGCTTTTCGTGGAGAAATCGCCTCTCCCGTGCTCTCGCTGTTCAGCCTGTACAGCAGCAACACAGGTAAGGACAAAAGGCAGAGAGAAACTAGGAACAGAACAAGGACACGAACCGGCAAGCAAAGCAGTATGTGATGTGTCGTCCTGTGTGTGAATAAACCCAGTGTGAGCATGCTGTGTGCCCCCTTTTTTTTGGTTTTGTGGCAATAAATAGGGGATTTTTTATTTACTGAAAACCAATTGTTTGTTTCTCTCTTTCTCTTAGATTCTCGGACTCACCTTTGCCATGACCATGTATTGTCAGGTAGTCAAGGCAGACACCTACTGCGCATAGATACCGTTCCCAGTCTTTCTGCTCCTCCTCCCAAGGACACAGGAGAATCTCCTTCATGCTCATTCATCTGACTTTTTCCCCCCTTTGTACTATGAACTGTGTATAATGCTATCTTTCTGAAGCTCTTGTGAATCACCCCACTTCACTGAAGGAGGAAGGAAAGAAAGTCAGTCCTTGACCTGGCACAGGTAAGAAGCAGCCTTGTCTTTACACGGTGAAAACCTCTGAAGAGCAACAGCTCCTTCCACGTGGCCTGTGGCAAGGCGAAGGAGGCGGCTGCTGCGGGGCTGCTCTGCAAACCGGCGGTGGGAGAAGGTGGCGCTGAGGCAGCCTCGCGGAAACCTGCCAGGTCGCCTTCCCACGTGTCATGTCTGGAGGAGAGGGCATAGACCAGGAGCATTCTTCAGCACGGACAGAAGGCACAGAGTAGCTAGCACTGAATGCAGCGGTAACCTTACGACAGTTTGCACACAGCTAAGATGTCAAGATCAAGCAGCCCTGCCTCGAGGTGTCTCAAGATGATTTTGTAGCCAGGAGAGGACCATCTTCAGTAATACATTATTTTAAAGGAGTATTTTTAATCCCATGTGCTGCAAAGTCAGGCTTTTAATCAGAATCTGTACAGTGAGATCTGGCTGTTAAGGGAAAACAATATTGGACATTGTCTCACTAATTGCCAGTGGCATATCGATGGTTGACTGTATCTGTAATATATGTTACATTCGTATGCACATACTGTTCTGAAAGGAGGTGAGAATACCCAGCATCTAACCTTAGGAAGAGGGAACCTTTCTATCCCATTTTACATTCCAACAACTGAAATAACCACATATGATTTCTTGTAGGAGGCACTATCACTTATACCTCTGGGAAACCAGTAATTACTTTCAGCTGTATCTTCATTTCAGTAAACAACTCGTGAGTGGGCTCTCTCTGTCATTCGACTATGGTTTTGTTTTTTATCATCGCTGTTTCAAGTTAGTCTGCCAAAAAAATATCACTCATTTCCACACTTGAAGAGCTGTACAAAGCTGTCAGCTGTTTCTTCCCTGAGTGTCACCATTCCGTTAATTTACTTTGGGATATCATCATCTGCAGGTATGATGGAGTTTGCCTTGCTGAAGAAAAAAAATCTTTTGCACATTGCTCATTTTTCTGAGAGTTATTATGAGTTCAGATGTTTCCATGCTTAGCTTTATTTTGGTTTCCAGCTGCACGCTTACAACAGCCAAGACACATCAGTCTTTGTTGGAACTGGAGTCACCTCTCAGTTCTGTTCTTCAGGCCCATCTCCCTCTGCCTGGCTGTTGGCTAGAATACACCCCCCACTTTCTGGAATTTGCAGAAATCAAAACTGTAGCTTTCCTTAGCCAGAAAACAGTCACCCATCATCCGATTTCCTCACCCTGCCTTGGCAACGGAAGCACTCTCGGTACCACCCTTCTGCACCTCCCTGCTAGGACGAGGTTACAAGTCAGGTGCTTCCCGCTGCCCAGACAAAGGGCTCCCCACCAGCCCCAGGTCATTCATGTGAAGGGGAGAAGCTGAAGCCCCCCTGCAGAAGGAGACAGCAAGGACCAGGCAAACAGCCCGGCAGCTGGCCTGCCCCCTGCAGCCAGCCGTCGGGGACCCCTTAGCCACTGCCAACAGACCAGAGCCACAACCCCCATGCCCGTTTCCCCAGAGCGCTCAGTGCAGCCATTCCTGCCGCGACACCAGACGCACGCGTCAAGTTCAGGCAAAAAAAGTCACCCCCTACCTTGAGTTGCTTGCAGCAGCGGGGGTCGGCCATGAGAGACATTCTGCTGGCTCCGAGTTAACGGCAATTCCCAGCAGTAAGGCTGGACTTGCCCCCCAGCCTATTTAACAGTCTCCTCACCACCTGCACCCCTTTGCTGGACCCACACACAGACAAACACTACTCACACCGCTTAGGTTGTGGTGGGGTTTGTTTTTTTTTTTTCATCCTCTTTGCTGCTTTTCCGGCAGTCTCCTCACCCTCAGGCCCAAACTACTCCATGAGTTGTGAGGAAGTGCTGAGGCCAGTCTGGTGTGTGAAAGAACAAGTTATTTTTCCAAAACCTTACCCCCCATCTTTACACATCAACCTCTCTAACAAACAGGGGGCTTTTAGCTGTGCAGGCGAAGTTGGAAGCAATGCCGTCCTTGTGTGCATCTTAGGTGGCTTCCCACTTGCTCCCCATCGCAGCAGCCTCACCCAAAACCCCCCCCCGAAGGGTTTTACTGCCATGCTAACCGTGGTGGCAGACCTCGACCCAAGAGAGTGGTTGGACTGAGCAGCTCCCCCCCCACGGGGCGCCCTGTACCCCAGGCAAGAGACTTACTCATGGCGTTACCATCGCCACAGTCTCATTGCTCTCTGCTTCCTGAGCCCAGTCCTGCTCTTGGAAACAGGGTGCAAGTTCATTCTTTCCCTCTCCCCACTCTGTTCCTTTCTTACCTGCACACAGTCCCAGGTTAGATGTACCATTAGTTCTTGCCATGGTTTACAGTTTGTACACACCGGTGCTCCCTGCTGACAGCTCAGAGGTTCCTCCACTGACAAGCAGCACAACAGAGTGATGAATACATTAATAAAACATGGTGGGTTGTTTTTTTTTTTTTTTTTAAGACAGATAAAAGGTAGACAAGTCTATTTGTAGTGATCCCTGCCATTAAAAATTAACACAGAGCGAGCAGGCTGATGATGGCTCAGTTGATAAGCGCAAACAGTGGTGCAGCAGCGCTCCCACGGAGGGCAGTGCTCCCACGGAGGGCAATGCTCTTCAGTTTGCCTGATTGCGCTATGGGGAGAAGAGCGATCACAAACCCTCATCGTGCGAGTTTCCCAGTAACAAGCACTGAGCCCTTGCCAAGGACTGCTAGACTTCAGCTCAACCTACAGAAGAAACAAAATGTGACACAGGCTGGAGACAAGTCACACGTTGTAGTTCCCTCTAATCATTTCCCACAGTTTAGGTGTCTTTACAATGGGATAAACTGCCTTGGCTTTCAGACCCACACCTCCACAGGAGCGTAAGCAGCACTCGCTTTGTAAATCCCCGTCACTGCAACAGAAACATACGGCACTAACTGCTGGAACGAGAGTTAAAAAAGAACAAACAAACAAACAAACAAACAACAACAACAAAAGGAAAGAAACCCCACAAACAAAACCAAAACCCCGGAGCACACGTTGCTGCTAGTGATCCTTTGGTACCCAGCACCCTTGCACTGCCAACGGAGCCGCTGCTGCACCTTGTTTATAATTGGAACTGGACTGTTCTCACGGTCAATGTGAGTCACTCTTCACACAGGCCAAACAGCTGTTACGGTGCTTAAAGCATGACCAGCACAATCCACTGTCAAACCTCCGAACACACTGCATCGAACAAGCCTCAGACTTGCCATGTTATTGTGGCCTTTCTCTGCTGATGAGGTCAGAGTATTTTTGTGGGATGGAACAGCAACTTTTTTTTTTTTTAAAAAAAAACAAAACCAAACCCCAACCAAACCAATGTAGTTCCACATTATGCATAAACCTTCACATTGAACTAGTTGATTCTAAGTAACTCCCCTGCAGTCCACAGTACCCACTGAAAGGCTGCTTATAGCGTGTGTATGCAGAGCAACTCGGCAGCCATTCCACTTGCTTCCATTAGTGTCTGTCACTTTTAGTAAAGTCTTTTGTATTATTTTCACTTCTTACCTTTAAACATGGAGGAGGACTCGGTACGTTTAAATTAAAGACAAGAGCCGAAGGCAGCAGAGACACTGCAGGAGCGCACTCCTGATTGCTACTCATTGCTCTTTCTGCTTCCCAACAAGCTGTGAAGGCACAGGGCGCATGGCCGGGCCTGCTGAATTCAGCAACATCAGGATTTAGCTTTTAGATGCAATCCGCTATACTGCTGGCTTTTCATCTTCACTATTACAGTAAGGTATACATCTATCTTTAATAGGATATGGGTTATTTTCCTGTACAGTAACCATCAGTAGCAGACAGATCTATTGCTTGTACAACCATTATTTAGCTCCACATCTTACAGCGCTCAATCACTGAACCTCCCTCCAGTTTCTGGTCTGTGAATACTTCTTTGCTGCCCCCCCCTCAAATAATAAAAACTCGCAAAGGTTTATTCTTCCATTTAATAATTACCATTCAAATGCAGCATTGTTTGAGTTATAGTATGGAGGCAGAAACTGCACAGAAGCTGTAAAAAAAATATTTCACCTTGCATCAGCAGCATGGCTGCTGCGCGAATCCACCCACCCCCTCACTTCTCCCCAGGTGACAGCTCCCGGCTGTCTCCCACCAGCCGCAGGGGCAGCACAGCCAAAGGGGAGGGCAGTCCCCTCCCTAGTGTCACTGGTGTGCTGGCACCGTGGCCGCACAGGTAAGCAAGAGGAACCAGCTGCTGACTGTGGCCTTGGTTTTGAAACCATTAACTTTGTCCGCAAGGATCCCTGCTAAGCACGAATGCTCTTCATAGCTACCAAGTCAGACAATTCACAGTCAGGGAACAAGTCGGGACTGGCCACGGGAAATTTTGTTTGGATTGCCGTGTGAATTTCCCTGGCTTGTCACTGGTCCCCACGTACCACAGCAGGCAGCTCTGCTCCGTTCTTTGGGTTTGGTCACTGCAACGACAATGATACATTTTTGTGCATTCATATAAAGAACAAAATTTAAAATATACATTTTATTTTTTAAAACTTATTAAATATTCTTTAAAGATTACAACAGAATGTCTTTTGTATTCTTTATAATCAGCTACACTACAAGCACTACAGGGAGTGTACTCATACCCAGACGTGTGTGCTTGCAGTGCAAGCGTACGCAATGAAAAAACCCAAATACACAGCGTACCTCTTTTTTGTCATTTCTCATCACCTATCTGTGATTTGACCTGCCCTGCCCTGCCCTTCCTTATAGATTCTTTTTATTAAGTAAGTGCCTTACCCATTCCAGATAAATTTATGCCCCCCTTCTCTTTCCTCTTAAGGGCAACCTGAACTGATGTGATAGTTGGTAACAATTCAGAAGGTACTGGGAGATCGGGTTTGCACTGTGACAGAATACTTGGACCCAAACCCAATTGTTTTCTGGTTAGAACTTGTCTGTTACAGATAATTTT